ATTTTGTGCATGACCATCTAACCTTGATAACCCTGTGGTTAGTGTCAAGTTACCCACTGTTGAGTTGTGCATTCCCCTGTGCAGGTACATGGACAGCCACAGTATGGTTTCGGCTATATCAGGACCAGGCCTGCATGCAGCGTGTGTGAGTCATGGCAGGTGGAATGTAGAACTTGAGAGAAACCAAGGATGGTGTGAGTGCTTCAGCATGGATAGGATGAACAAGATCCTGGGAGGGCGTAGTTTGCCTCTACTCTAGCAGCAGAAAAAGGAAACAGCTTCAAGGATGCAAGGAGGAAGACAGGTGGACCCAGTCAAAAAAAGGGTTGACAAGAATTGCTGCCAGTTTCTACTGTATGTTTATGGTGAGAAACTGCTGAATGGACAATTTGTTGGGGAGGGGGGGGTGGGTTGTTCATTGTACATGTATGTACATGTACATGCACATAATTATGAGTAGTATCATCTGTGTGGTAGCTGGTCCCACTCCTTGCCCCAGTGGGTTTCTCAACACTTACACATCTGACTTTTTCTCTTGAATTTGGACACACAAAATGTTGACTTGGTTGAGTGAAAGATACTCGTAATATTGCCAGTGTTTTTTGTCTTCCCGAAATTTCAGGCTTCCAAACTGCTGTTGGTGTTCAGTGTTGACTGCTCAGATTCAAAAGATCTGCCGAGAAAGTAGTCTAGATCCAACTTGAACAGAGTTGGGAAAAAGAAACCTTTCAAGATATTTGAAGAACTTTGAAAGAAAAAGTGCTACAGACTGCTGAACCACTACTTGTTGCATGCACAGTTTTTTTTCTTTAACCCCAACCATGCTGAACCCAACAAGGTGATGCAGGATTTGAATCTGCTTCAAATTGATTTCAGTGTAGCTTTCCAAGTTGATACTGTTTTCTGTCCTTGCATCTGTAGACTCTACACATCTCTGCACACAAGTCCCTTAGACTGCAGTGTCCATGTGCCTCAACGGGTACGTACTCTGATGCAGCGTTGTTCCTAGCTTATCCCTATGGACAAGTTTGGTACAAGTACAGCAGTGCGTCTCGTGTTTTCAAGTCTTACATCAAGGCAGGTAGGTCATTTACACTCAGGTAGGTCATTCCTTTTGAGCTTTCTCTGTGGACTTAGTAGTGTCCTGTGCTTAGCAACAGGACTCCCAGAGTAAGTGAAAAGGGTGTAACTATAGACAGGGATAGCAAAGTGAAAAATGAAGTTTCCCAGTTATGTCTGCAAGTACATCAGTTGAAAGAGCTCAGAAATACGAGAAGTTTGGCAGTAATTTGAGGAAAATCAGTTGAGCAGAACAAAAGTTATGACTATCTGAAGACGATTTTGGGGAAATCTTGTTACCTAGCAACCGCGTAATTACTAAAATGAACAAAATACACTTATTAACAATATCTAAAAATGTAGAGATCCAGATGACCTAGAAACAGTACATATCTCATATTTGTGATTCTATGTGTGACCAGAAGAAGCAATTTCATCCCATGGGGGACGGCCGCAGAGTAATCGGAACTTTGAAAATGGTCAAACAATGACCTGTTGACCCTAGGCCTTTGTTCACGTACTTAATGTGGTATTAATGACTTTTTCAGTTTTCGCTGATATTTAGAATGTTGCCAAATAAAAGTTGAACTCGGTTGGCTTTCATTTTTGGACCAGTGGTGTACAACTATAAGTGGACGAATTTTTACTTCCTGAATTTTTGGGCATCTATTTATTGAATATCAAGTCAATTCTAGCTTAGTCAATTTCGTCGTCCATTCATTGTAATAATTTATCAGTGTTCTGCATGAGGGATTTTAGCAGGACTGGCCGTCCTGCTAAATTTTAGACTGCCCCGACTACTTTCTGCTGCCCCAACAAAATTCTCACCTCCTTGCTATTTTTTGTTGGATTTTCCCTATTCTCCACTGTCTTAACAATTAAACTGTCCTAAAAATTTAAATGCAAAGAAGTTAAAAGCACTTGGACATGTAAACATAGTTCCGGATTTTTTTCTAGATCCAGATTATGTGAAATTAAACTTCTTTTCTGCTGCTTCCAAGACTACTTCTGTGTTCATTTTCAAACAAGTTCAGTTAAAGGTGAAATGTAAGCTAGATTTCTGTTTTGAACTTTTGACATTTTTTGAAAGGTTTGTCAAAAATTGACCAAAAAATACAGGGTGGTGGGTCATTCTGTATGTGTGATTCCAAACACTTTATTCTTACATAACAGTCCTATAAACATTTGCATCTAATGTACCGGTGTATATAATCAAAACTCTATGATTTGGGGATTATTAAACTAACAAAGGAACAACCTACACATCTAGATCAGGAAATCTGAAGCCTTTATAATTCCCTTCAGGGTCTGGGTAGGTTATTCTGGTTTTGTTGATGATACAGGATGGTAATCTTACTCGGTTATGACAGCCTAGGAATCCCCAACACCATCTGACAACCTGGCAGTAGGACACATGGCGATATTTGCTGGATGAAAGATGTAAAAAAGGAGCAAATCTATGTTTTCAAAATTAAGGACAAATTAGAAACAGAAAATTGAAGCAATGTGACATATCACAGGCCATTTTACATGGTATACAGAAAATTCCGATCTTCTTTTTTTAACATGTGACTTTTTAGATGCACCCATATCTCGGTTTAATTAAATGAAGAGCTTCTCTAGAGTCATTACCTTGCTCTGTCTCCCTCCACTGCCTGTGCGCCATACTGTTGTCGGAACTGAAAATAGGCAGTTTCTAATGTGTCTGGATTGAGGCAAGTAGCCTCATACCAGGGATGGTCTGTGAAGCACTGAACTGTCATGGGATCAATGCCTGTGTGGACAAATTTGGCTTGGAACACATCTATCTCCTTGCAGCACTTGCAATCCTCAACATTCTCCATTATTATGCATTGACCACAGGAACACCTGTGTAATAAAATATAATTACATGTATCAGAGACAACAGTGGCTGTGTAGTGATGAGTCGATAAAACTATAAGTTCAACTTTGTAAACAAGTTAGATAAGCTAAGCTAGACTCGCTGTAATAATTTTTTCCAACTTTCATGAAAAATACCTCTGCAAATTGTCAATAATTTTCCCAGTACAATCGGTTATTCTTATAACAATATTGGTCATTACCAGTTAGTTGTTCGGAGACAATTTTCATCCACTGGTAGGCCTACATGTACATGTGCCGTCGATTCATCTGCCTGGCTGACCATACTGGCCTCAGCTCCACTTGTTTCATCGGGTATCGCTGCCAAGGGCTCAAAACGGTAAGGCTCAGCTCCGCGGATGATAACTTCATCGCCAGATTCGTCTCTACTATCTCTGCTATCGTTTGACGATGGTGAGCTACTTTGATCAGAATATCCTTCCGAATCAATGCTGTAAGTCTCCCAAGAGTTGTCGCTATCCGATTCCGCCATCATACGAACGCATGCTAAGCAGTGCATGTATGTACAAGTACATGTACATGTACTGTATGTTGTGCTGTGTTTATCACTGAGCTGACATGCGCACTGGACACTAGACTAGTCAGCACACGACTCCAAACAATGACGTCACACGTACACAGCGCTCAAACCGCAGTGACCTTTGGTTTCTAGTTTCGAGACAAAATCGCTTCAAATAAAATGGCCAGTTTTGGGTTTTTCGGGTTTGTTCATTGAAACAAAAGTGACCATACTTTGAAACGTACATGTAAATAGAAATAAACTAAATCACCGTCCACTGCTCTTTCATCTTGGCCATTATCTTTCTCGGCACACTCATCACTCATCAACACCTGTTTCATGTTTTCTCTCATTTCTTTCACACTCAGCAACTTTCCACCACTCGACAAATTCAATAGCCCTTTCTTTGCATGCTCATCCCTCATCACCTTCTTTCTATACCTCAATTGCACTTTCAACAAACACTCCTGTTCCTTTTCACTCTTACCATGCAACATATCATTCATATCTTTGACACTCGTATACACAGGACCACTGGCATTCATATCTTGCACAATCTTCCTCACTGTTTCTCTCTCACGCTGCTCTGTCCTCTTTTTTGCCTCCTTCTTCTCAAGCATCTTCTCCTCTCTTTCCTGAAATCTCCTCTTCCTCCTTTCCACCATCACTTCTCTCTGCTCACTCACCGACTCCTGGGCCATCTTCATTAGCTTTCTCTTCTTATCCTCATCTAATGACTCTCTCCATTCACTCATCTGATTTCGCCTACACATTATCACACTTTCCATCGCATACTCCATCGCTCGTGGCTTTTCTCTCAACAACCTATCAAACATACCAAAATCATGCTCTTTGTCTCGCTCATCATCTCTTCATCCATTTGTTCATACACACCACCCTGAATCTGACTCTCTAACATCCTTTTCCCCAATTTCTTAAACACACGAAACAAGCACTGCAGCAAGTCCTGGAAGGCCCCATCACTCGCACACGGCTCAGCAAGACTATCAAACACCTCATCAATCTCAACATGCACATCATCATACATCCTAGCCTCACCAAGAACCACACTACTCGCATCTTCACTCCACTGTTCCAAACATTCCATCATCCTTTTATACCTTTCATTCATTCCAACCACATGCTCTTTAGTTTTACATTCAACACTCCCCATAATGGTCCCGTCACAATCTTATCAATCAAACCAAACGCTCTCAGAAAACCAAGCGGTTCAGAAAATCAAACCTGTTTCTGCTCATGTTTGAAGTGATGAGGTGGTTCCTCAAACCGGGGTTGGTTGATCAGTAGCCATTGTAGTTTGATATCTTTACCAGTCCCATCAAGAAATCAACTCCAAACCATAGGCAGAAAGCGGGAGGTGGATCGTTGATTGTTATATGAAAATTATATGAAATATGGGACCCCTTGACATTTGGTCATGAAAGGCCCAGTGATGTCCTTAATATCTTTGTAATTAATTCTGTCCCGAAGTGTTTAATTTTGAGTCACTTCTTCATTCAAGTTTTGAATTCTACAGTTGATTTCCTTGATTTCACTGTTGAGTTGCTGAACCAGTTTCTTAGATTCTTTGGCATTTACACTGTTATCATCATACTTTTGCCCAATTCTGATGAAGTGGTTTGGATTACTTGCCTTAGCCTGAGCAATCCTATCAGTCTTAGCGCCAAGTTCACCGTCCAGTTTCCCCTTTGTATCGCACAATTCATTGTTTTCTTTGCAAAGTTCTTCAGTGTGTGCATACAGGTTTTCTACCCCACTGTATATCCTGTGATCTTTTGGGACCTCTTTGTCTAAATCCTTCGCATATTTCTCAACAATTTCAAAGATTTGCAAACCAAGCCCCAGGCCAATGTGCAAGGGACTGACTGATATATGTTCAGTGACAGAGCCCTCAGAACCTACGAGAGATTCCTAGATGCAGTTTTCGTAGTTTTTGCCATGATCTTTTTGTAGCGGGCATAATATGAAAATTATGGCACCTGCATACATTATTTATTTGTGTACTAGTTTACTGCATCAAGCATATCCTTAATCAGTTGACATGCTTCATCATACTGGGATGGTGGAATCCGGCGATGGCGTTCCTTGAAAGGGACATCGTTTTTCAATTTGATCTCGTGTTTGACAGTCGTCTTGTGTCCGAGGTCATTGTCATGAAAGGAGAAAACCTGTTTCCACTCTTTCAGAAAGTGTTTCACTCGGTCTAGGTTCTCAGCTCCTACTGGTGATTTAGTGAAGTCAAACTGCTCTAGAAAACCATCAGTAGTCTTCTTCTCAGCCGATTCAGGCGAAGCCACATCCAGAACATCAAGTGGATTGATGACAGTAACGTGGTTTGCCTTGCAGAGGATGGACTTTGGACTAACTGTCAGTGGCTTTAGTGTTAAGTTCCTGACAACAACAGGAACACCTAAGATTGTAGTCTGTGGTGGGAGTGTGGCCACCGAAGGAAGTACTTCCAAGCCACCCGGTAAACTGGTGCATGAAGATGCTTCCGTTACAACGTGGCACTGCATACTGAGCGGACTGGATTTTATGTAACCCTTAATGATACCTGTGTCATTTGGTTGCATGACAACCTGGCTGTCACCTGCTGTCCTTACCTCAAAATCATTCTTATTGGGTTTACAGGTCTTCAGTGACTGTAGAGCCAGCCGCCAGGCTTGCGGCAGGGCCACCTTCTGAGCGAAGCGTGTCCCATACGCTTGTTAACTCCTCCTAGGAACGCGTCCGCCTCATTGGCACTACCGACCAGTCTATGGATTACACTGTTTGAGTGGATGATGTCATTTGGGGACTTGGTGTTGTGATATATTTGATCGTCTGATCTTTTCTAGCTAGCCTCACACCTAGGCCTTACCTGGTAACTGTGATTGGTTAGCTCAGTCGGTAGAGCATGGGACTCTTAATCCCAAGGTCGTGGGTTCGAGCCCCACATCGGGCGCCAATTATGTAGTGGGCTTAATATGAAAATTATGGCACCTGCGTACATTATTTATTTGTTTACTAGTTTACGCCATTTTATTGTCAGCCAACCAGTGAGGATTAGTGCATTTCCCGCTAAGCTAGCGAAAAGTTTTCACACGCTGTACAAACATACAAATATCCTAAATCTAAAGAATACATATATTAAAAAATAACCAGAAAAACCCAGGGATTCTGTTCACAGAAGATAATTATTAATTAACAACAAAAATAAACAAAGGGGCCTAGCTTGAAGTTGTGTTGAAGTTAGGGATGAATTGTCCTGGCTTCACTTCACAATGGCAATAAGCTGGGGAGCCTGCAGTTAAAGGACTTGTAGTTCAAGGGGGCTTGAAGGATAATCAAGTCAAATGATTGAAACTTAGCAAGTAATCAAACACAAAAGAATGTTGCAAATTCAAAGACTTCATTTGCACAAGAGGGAAATAGCCTTCTCTTCACTTTAGTCAAGAGTATGTGATTATTCAACGTCTGCTAGAAGTAATATATCATAAAAAAGTAAGGAAAATAATATTATACAAGTAATCCTAGGAGTCAGTTCTTTCTGAATTTTTACTTAATTTAGACTAGTTGTGAATTGAGATGGAGTCAAGGGGGTACCATCAAAGTGAGATAGGAAATGGGTGTGATGCTGGGGGCTGCATTAAGCCTGGGCGACTATCTATTTTGCAAAGTCCTGGAGACTATTACATATTAGTCACGACTGTTCAACTAGTCGCGACTATTATGACCCCATGACGTCATATTATGTTAATGATATTCATAGTTAAAAATTTTGAGGAGCACCTCTAATTTGAACGACTGTATTGCCAAATTTCTGGCGGACAATCTCTTGCAAAGCTTATGTGGCCTCTCTGGTTTAACTGAAAATCGGCGATTATATATAAATCTTCTGAATGGATCAGCTTGACTTTCTCATTTCAGTTCATTTGCGATGACTGGAGAAAATTGTCAGCTTACTGAACTGAAATAAAAATTTTAATGTTTGGTGCGTCAGACCCCTTAGTACGTACAGTAGGCACACGAATAAGACAGCAGGGACACGCCCATACAATGGCCGTGTCAAACTGACAATGTAGCACACGTGGTCTGCTCTCTGGATTTTTGCATGGTTTCGGCATTTTTGGATCATTCCATTTTAATTTTTCGAGGGCGAAACAGTACGTACGTTTGGTGGTATTTGGTAAGTCACTGCATAGAACATGAATCACATGTTTTTTAATGAGTTGTTCAGTATTCACCTGCACAAAATGGTCACCTGGTCAAAATTTGATTTTGAGAGAGAGAGAGACGTGTATT